CTGTGAGTTCGAGGCCAGCCTGGGCTACCAAGTGAGTTCCAGGAAAGGCGCAAAGCTACACAGAGAAACCCTGTCTCGGAAAACCAAAAAAAAAAAAAAAAAAAAAAAAACCATGAATACCTAGTCATTTCTTACCTCACGTAGGACGTTCATAACAGGCTGCCTTTGCATCTTATGTAGATTTTGCTTTAGGTCCTCACTGCTAAATGTAAGTCAGTAGTCAGTGTCAGTCTTGTTTCTTTGCACCCCAGACAGAACTGCATAGAAGTGCAGCACATCTACCATGGCAAATGTGAACAGCCTTATTGATAATATAAGAGATTTGCCTGAGTTGTGTTGGCTTGGAATTCAGAATCATCCGAAGATGGAAAGATCTCCCACGCTCATAGATCAGTAGGATTAACATAGTAAAAACAGCCATCCTACCCAAAGCAATCTACAGATTCAACACAATCCCCATCAAAATCCCTACACAATTCTTTACAGACCTTGGAAAGGACAATTCTCAACTTCATATTGGAAAAAAAAAACCAAAAAACCCAAGATAGATAAGACAATTCTGAACAATAAAAGAATTTCCAGAGGTATCACCATCCCTGATTTCAAGTTGTGTTACAGAGCTATAGCAACAAAACCCACATGGTATTGGCATAAAAATGGGCACATTGATCAATGGAATTGAATTGAAGACCTAGATGCAAATTCACCTGGTTTTTTTTTATAAAGAAACCAGAAATACACAATGGAAAAAAGAAAGCATCTTTAATAAATGGTTGGTGTAATTAGATGTCTACATGTAGAAGAAGGCAAATAGATCCATATTTATCATTCTGCACAAAATTCAAGTTCAAGTGGATCAAAGACTTCAACAGAAAACCAGATACACTGAACCTAGTAGATGATAAAGTGGAGGATAGCCTTGAACACATTGGCACAGGAGACAGCTTTCTAAACAGAACACTGATAGTGCAAGCACTAATAAATAGGACCTCGTGAAACTGAAATGCTTCTGTAAGGCAAAGGATACAAACAATAGACAAAACAGCAGCCTACAGAATGGGAAAAGATTTCCATCAACTCCACATCCAAGAGAGAGCTAATATTCAAAATAAACAACTCAAGAAACTAGATATCAATAAACCAAACAATTCAATTTAAAAATGGGGTACAGATCTAAACAGAAAAGTCTCAAAAGAAGAATATCAAATGGCTGAGAAACACTTAAAGAAATATGCAACATCCCTAGCCATCAGGGAAACACAAATCAAGACTACTTTGAGATTCTATCTTACACCTATCAGAATGGCTAAGACCAATAACACAAGTGATAGCTCATGCTGGTAAGTATGTTGAACAAGGGGAACACTCCTCCATTGCTGGTGGAAGTGCAAACTTGTACAACCACTGTAGAAATCAATATGGCGGTTCCTCAGAAAATTGGGAATCGATCTACCTCAAGACCCAGCTATACCACTCTTGGGCCTTGTGTTGTTTTGAAAGAAAATGACCCCAAAGGGAGTGGCACTATTAGAAGGTATGACTTTGTTGGATTGCATTTGGCTTTATTGGGAGAAGTGTGTCACTGTGGGGGAAGGCTCTCAGGTTTTATATATGCTCAAGCCACATGAAGTGAGACAGGCCACTACCTGCTACTTCTCCAGCACTATGTCTGCCTGTATGTCACCATGTCGAACCATGATGATAATGAACTAAATCTCTGAAAATGTAAGCCACCCAAATTACATGTTTTTCCTTTATATGAGTTGCCTGCCATGGTCATGGTGTCTCTTCACAGCAAAAGAAACTCTAACTGAGACAGACATATACCCAAAGGATGATCCACTCTACTGCAAGGACATTTGCTCAACTATGTTCATAGTGGCTTTATTAATAATAACCAGAAACTGGAAACAACCTAGATGTCCCTCAACTGAAGAATGGATAAAGAAAGTGTGGTACATTTACACAAGAGAGTATTACTTGGGTGTTAAAAAAAATAACAACATGAAATTTGCAGGCAAAAGGATAGAACGAGAAAAAAATCATCCTGAGTGAGGTAACCCAGACCCAGAAAGACAAATATGGTATGTATTCACTTATAAGTGGAACTTAGCTATTAAATAAATGTTCATCAAGCCATAATCCACAGACCCAGAGAGTTTAGGTTAAGAGGAGGGCTCTAGGTGGGATTCATGAATCTCCCTGGGAAGGGGAAATAGAATAGATTTTGCAGTAGACTGGGAGAAGGAAGGATCAGGTTGGTGGGGTGGGGGGAAGGAGAGAGTATGGGGAAAGACAGGTAGAATTGGTGGGAGGCACGTGGGGGTGTGTGGAAACTTCCTGGAAACTATGGGGATAACCCTAGTGAGGACCCTGGTAATGGAAGATATGGAATCAGAACTGGCCATCTTTTTGTAGCCAGACAAGGCTTCTGGGGGGGACTGGGTTACATCCGGTTGAGTGGTTGGCCTAGGCAATCCCCTGGGGATCCCTAAACAATGCAGGCTGATGCCAGGATAGAGAGCTGCTCTCTGAAAACTGCCAGCGGAGATCCCATTGCTGGGATCATCCACATTGCTCATTGAAAGTAGAGAGGTCGATAATACCAATTGTTCCACACAAAAGAAACAGAAGGACCATTACCAAACTCCTTCTATGAGGCTACAATTACCTTGATTCCTAAACCAAACAAGGATACAACAAAGAAAGAGAACTACAGACGGATCTCCCTCGTGAACATTGATGCAAAAATACTCAATAAAATACTGGCAAACAACCTCCAAGAACACATCAAAACAATT